GGAATGGACCCAAGCTTTTGGGTAAGCAGAGTAGTTGGGGTTAGGATGGTTGGATTCTCTGGATCTGTTGACACTGGAACAAGTGGTCTGGAATTAATTATAGCAGATGCCTCTGCCATAAAGGTGGTTAGAACCTCGTGGGTAAGTCTTGTGCAATTTGAGTTCATAAGCATAGAGTCCAGCTCACGTAGTATGAAATCTGCAATTTCTACAGCTAGAACAGTCCCACAAAGTTCAAGCCTAGGGATTGTGTGCTCTGGCTTAGGTGCTAACTTAGCTTTTCCAAACAGAAACCCTATGTGGACTTGATTAGAAGAGTCTCTTACCTTGAGGTAGGCAACAGCCGCTATAGCCTCAGTTGATGCATCTGAGAAGATGTGAAGTTCTTTTCTCTGACTCGTAGTGAGGGAAGCTGAATTGTAGCAGCATGGTATACGGATTCCATCTAAGGCACGTAGAGATTGTTTCCAGGACTCCCACTTAGGAAGCTTGTCTGATGGCAGTGGGGCGTCCCAATCTTTAATAGTCTCTGAGAATTGCCTAAGCAAGGATTTGCCTTGTATGGTAATGGGAGCAACAAATCCCATTGGGTCATACAGGCTATTTACTACTGACAGAACACCACGCTTGGTAAACGGCTTGTCTGTAGCGCTGACTTGAAAGCCGAAGGTATCCTTTGACAAGTCCCACTGTAGGCCCAGACTTCTCTGTTCAGGTGGCTTGTCCATTCCGAGATTAAGGTCTTTAAACCCTGTGGCATGATCATCAGGTTGAAAGGCTTTCATGATGGCAACACTATTTGAGGCAATCTTGTGTAGTCTGAGGTTAGCCTCAGAGAGCATATCTTGTGTCCTCTTCTTCATCTGTAGGTAAAGACTTAAGCCCATCGTCAACATAAAAGTCTCTCTCAACAAAGTGTCGAGCGTCACTACCATACTCCTTTTCTCCTTGAAGGGCAGTCCTTCGTAAACCATATGTTGCAACAGCGGGTGAGGGACTATTCCCGAAGACATGAACTTTCATGCGGTATTCTATGATCTCATTGTCCATGTAGTTGTTACGGTGCCACAGAAACCTTAGGAAGTTCCTATGGTCTTCGCGTACAATGAAGCAATGAAACATTTGCTCAATGTCGGCAGTTATTGCAACTGGCTCTCTTCTAAACCTCATGAGTACACCTACAAGGTTGTTGGTTAGATTCGGGCCTGTGAGTAGAACGTTGTTCAGGGATACGCCTTGATGCTTGGCACTGGAGTCAAATACTACCCTGATTTGTTTGGGCTTGCGCGGATGATACACTCCGAAGAAAGGCAGGTACCAGCACTCATCATGACTTTGAAGTGGTGGCGCTGGTTCGGCATGATCATTGTCGAAGATCCTTTTCATGAAAGCGATGAAATGATCCTTCATTTCAGGTCTGTTCTTTAGTGTTCGTTGAAGTGAGTTCAATCTGGATACAGCCTGTTCACGATTGGTAGGGAGTTTGGCTCTTGCTGTTCGAAGAGGTAATGGCGCAACCCAGCTGTTAGACTCATCCTGGAAGAATTCTTTGTCCATTATTTTGCTGAATTCTTTGTCTTCAATCGACAAGGCTAATTTGTTGTCATCATTTGTAGTACTAAACACTGCGGCACCTAGGTTGTCATAAGAAAGAATAGAAGCAGTATGCCGTACTTGGATCACGTCAAGAGGTTTTTCCTTTTCTTCATAATGGCGAGGGCATCGTCTGAAGTGGGAGGCACGTCCATTCCCCAGTATGTAAGTTTTAAAGGAGCGGATCTCGGATGACGTACGCTTCCTGTCTATGCATACATCGCCCACTATTACCCAGCCTAGGTCAAGTCTTTGTGCATAAGGGGCGTCGTCAGGTCCATTACACTGGTCGCACCCTTTATGTACTCTGAGGATGTCTCTTCCTAGGAGAACCAAAATTTCAGCATTCATGTCCATTTCAGGAATCTCATCAACAAGGTGCCTTAAGTGAAGATGGTGGTATGCGGCTTCTGGAGTGGGAATCTCTTGCCTTTCATCTGGTATCTGGTCACACTCAACTAATGTTGGTAGGGGTATACCCTGTCCCCCTTTGATGTGAGAAACCATGAACCCATCCACTCTTCTGCCAAAGGCCTCTACACGACCAGAACAGGTTCTAAGAGTATACGGTGTGGGATGACCCTCTATGCCAAAGATCTCAAAGAATTTAGGCTTAACCAGGGATCTATTGCTCTGTTCATCTATTATGGCATACATCTTAGTAGCTTTCTCAGGGTGGTCCTTTGGGTATATCCTGACTAGGCATACCTTGGCGCAGCATTTGTGATCCAAGCCTTCTCCACAGACTTCTGTGCACGAAGAGAGAACGTTATTCTTGGCTGGAGCATGACTTTGTTGCTCCCCGCCATAGCTTGAGGCAGGTGAGGAGGTAGGTGGCTGCTGTAACTTGTCTGGAAGTGGAGTAGGATGCATGGCTGTAACATGTTTGTCGCTGCCGCATTCTGTGCACTTGATGAGGGCTTCACAGTCTTTAGCAAGGTGGCTATAAGAGGCACAGCACTTGAAGCATATTCCAAGTTTCTGGAGAATCTCCCTGCGCTCTTGTAGAGTCTTTGCCCTAAGTCCACGACATTTCTTAAGAGGGTGAGGCTTCTTGTGAATAGGACACTGGCGATTAGGGTCTTTATCTTTGTCGACCACGCACTCATCACTAGGTGAGGTGACGGAGGGTGAGATGTCTGTCCTCTTGACAGATATTGCTTTATTAAAGTCTCTACGTTTAGGTGCTGTGTTATCATACCTTGATGATGATGAGGATGAAGCAGGCATGTTGGGTTCACTGAAGCTGAAGCTGGGGTCATTTCTCATCCACGCTTGATCACTAATGAACCTGCAAAAGTATGAGAATGGAGGAAAAGATACATTATAGTCTCTTTTATACTTTGATCCTTGTTGTGCCCATTTCTCTTGTAGGCTGTATGGCAGTTTAGACACCACTGGGTTGACACCATGAGCAGTGTCCAAGAAGCTTAGTCCAGGTAGACGTGGATCTCTCTTTGCCAACTCCAACTCCATGAGGAGGTCACTTAGATCTTGCAGCTTGCAATGGTCTTTGTTTGATATTTTTGGAAAGTTTTGCAGTCTCTTGAATAGAGCACTTTCTATGGCTTCAGAGCTACCATAAGTTTGCTCAAGTCTTGCCCATGCAGCAGAAAGACCTGCATCTGGGTGGTCAACATGCACTGTTCTCAGTCTTTTAACACGATCGGAAGATTCTGGTCCCAACCATTTTATGATCAAATCGAGTTCTTCCCTAGCAGTAAGGTTGAGATCAGCAATAGCAGCCTTGAATGTTGCTCTCCAGGCCCTGTAGCTCTCTGCACTATCGTCAAACCTTGAGAGGCTTGTGTTAATGAGCTCACGGCGCACCATATATCTGGCGAAGTCATTCAAATCTGATTTCTCACTCTTTGGTACCAAAGTAACTTGTGGAACCCCTTGGTTGTGAAAGTTCTCTGGTGATGTAGGGTGAGGTTCGCCAGGGTAGAATGATGTAGCATGAGCGTTTAACTTTGGCTTAGTCTCTAAGGCTTGTGCTGGCGGTGGCTTCAGATGCAGCTTGTCACCGAAAGTCACATTGTTGTTTGCAGGAGAAGATGTGGTTGGCTGCATAGATGTACCTGTATTGTAGACTTGAAGAGGCTCAGGCATATTGTGTTGGGAGGTCTCCGTGTTGAGAGTCAGAACAGTGTTGTTTGTAGGAAGTACAGGAGATGACTCTGTATCCTTGCGAATGTTATGCTTTAGTATATATTCACTGGTGCGTTCAACTGGATCTTCCAGTTCTGCTGGGATAAGACAGTCTAGATTAGTGCTTTGTCTCATTGCTTGTTCGAGGACTTTTAGCCTTGCCAGGGAAGCTGCTTTCTCACCTTCCATTTGCAGAATCTTTATTTGTGCTTCTTCCTCTGCTTGCTTTCTGACAAAAGAGCTTTGCACCTTTTTTGCTTCAGCATCAGCGCGGGCCTCAATAAGCTTATCATTTAATATTGAATTTCTGGAGCGAGAGGATCGAGAAGAGGGTGCGGTGCGCTTGGTTGAGGTGGATCTGTGAGATCTGGTCTCCAGTAGATGAGCTATGCGGAGTTCTGCCTTAAGCTTAGCATTTTGCACTTCAAGATCCCTTTGTCGGTTTAGTGCATTGGTCCTGGTCAGTTCTGCTGAAGAATCCTCTATATTAGAGTCCTGCAAGAAGGCTGAGTATTTTACAGACAACCGCTTATAGCGTTCATATGCGGCACATAGGCGATTTACAGAGTCTCTTAATTCAGCCGGTTGATCAGTGAAATTTGCCAAAACTGACATGCAGTGTGAGGTTCTGTCCCAGAGGTCTGACAGATTACTGGAGAACTCATCTCTAGTTGCTTCATAGTTTTCTCTGAGTTTCTGTGTCGGTTTTATTATACGTTTGGCTTTTACACTTTGTTCTGTAATATCTGCTAGATCTGTTCCCTGTGCACCTTCTGGTTCAGAGGCATGATGTATCTGTATTGTTTCTGCCATAAAAGAGTGTTCAGAGCGTTGGCTAGACATTTTATATTGTTTTGCAGAAAATGGTACTGTCTCTTTAAGAAACCACACAGCAGCTTAGACAGGTAACACAGTTCAGTGTAGAGAAACAGCTTCAATGTTCACATGAAGTGCAGTTAGAATGCAGTAAGAACAGATCATATGCAGTGCAGTGAGCTTCAGCCACCATGCGCTTCACAAGATGGAGGATGGGACTGAGCTAGATTGTAAATTATGCTCTCACATATACACAGCAGCTGCAGGAATTCTATGCATCTTTTGACTATTCTGACTCGGATTGTTGTGATAGTGATCTAACCCCTTGTGAGACCTCTGTGCCTGGCCTGTATAAGCAGGTACAGTCACTGCAGACAATCCTCCTCAGATAGCTGAACTCACCAATACTGGTTTCATCCAAAAGCTGGTTTATTCTGAACATCACACAACAGGAATACAGCAGAATGAATGGATTTCAGTATTATGCGGTCAAAAGATGATGCTTTCCTTAGCTTAGCATGTGGGATACAAGAGTCCCAGTTACATGAGGTAAATGCAAGCAGCCATGACACAGGAAGTACAGCAAGAAGAGGGGCGGAGTTTACATACAAGGAAAAGATGTATGATGCTCACAGGAGGAACAAGGGCATTACCAAAAAGGGCCAAAAGGAGGCAGCAAAAATACAAGGTAAATAAATCACAGAATATGCTATGTAAATTGCATCTACAATAATGAGAATATTAACTGTGTAACAGCACAGATAGTGAAAAGTCCAAATCCATCAGAGGTAGTGGTTGTTTTGTAAATGATTTGGTGGCCTTCAGACTTTCCTGGGAAGATTTTTTAGATTGAACAAACATCTCCATGTTTCAGTGTAATTGTGTTGAATGGACAACATAATTTTAAACTGTTGGATAAATTTGCCAATTTGGGAATTATATGTATCTTGACTTAAATTATACAGTTTTGTTTTCAAATAGCCAAATGTCATTGTTTATTGAATATACATACTATACATGTGGGTTGTGCTGGCCCTAGCTCAGTATATTGATGCTCTTTGGTTGAGTGCAGTCCCTATCTTTTTTTCATATTGTTTATTGAATAAACCTCATAATGTTTTATTTCTCATTTGTCCTACATTGATTCCTTGAGAACTATGCTAGACCATTGTTTTTTTGAGTAATAGGTTGGCCATTTATTTCAAAACATTTGTTCTACACAGTTCAATGAACATGAGGCAACACTTAAACTTGATGTGTGACCCTAAGGTTATATTAACAGTGATAAACAGTTACATTTGTGGCTTAAGTGCATTATGTTGCAATTTATTTCTGCCTTTTATTTTACAGGTCAAATGTTTGCCACTCGTGAGACATTCTTTGTTGTGCAATCATATTTATCCTAAGATGCAGCAATTCTGCAATATCAAACATCGCCTCTCGCTGAATGTTCAGATGTGTATTTATCAACATAAACATTAAGGCTTGGAACAAAAAGATTGTTTTACATTGTTCTCCTTTAGTCAAATGGGTCCCCACATTATTTTAATATGACAATGTGCTTTCTTGATAAAATTACAATGTTCCTTTTAAAATATAAACATACAATTTTTAAAGCATAGCATATGTGTGTTATTTATGTGTTATGCATTAAAGCAATGTTTCTTTTTTTAATGCTGTGTCTACATAACGCTGGTTGTGGATGAAATATTAAATTTCTTAATTATTCACGTTTCGTATGCATGTTTTTTTTTTATTATTCTTTATTTTGTCACAGGCAAAGAAATAGTGACATCATAGGCAAGTGTGAAATGCCTGTAAATAAACTTTTCAGGTTTTATAAAATGTACAGTGTGTCTGTGAAGGCTCTACATCACAGTGTGCCAAGTCCAGATCATTCATATGACAAAATACTGCAGTTTGTTCTTGGTGACGCTTGAAAACAAAAAAAACTTGAAAAAAAGATTAAAGGTAACAATAGGCATTCCATAAATGGAAGCCCATCTGCCGTTCCCTTTATAGGCATGTTGTTTTAACACCTAACAGCAACTCTATCCTATTTCCAGAAAGAGAAAGTAACCTGTAAACTGATGTAAAAAGTCCAACAACTTCATCAAAATATGCAAAATAAAGACAACTGGAGACTGGTCCAGATTGGTGTGGAACAGTTTTGTTTTGTTGTAATCTAATAATCTCAACATTTTGGGATATCTTTTAAAAATTTCCCCTTCTCTTGGTATAGACTTCACAGACATCTTAGTCTGCTCTAACAGAATTCGTGATATCACCCATTGGCGATGGACTGTCAGAGCCTGGACTCTTTAAAATGCTCGCCTGCATATTTTCTTTTCGTCTAGGTCTGTCATTGGGTAACAGTAGTAAAGGGATGGAAGCAGACCTCTTTGTTTGGTTGTTTAACAAATATATTGATCACTATCTTTCCTAACTTGAACCCACCTCCTCCTTACCAGAGGGTCCTTCCAAGCTGACCTCATCACTTCCTCCCTTACAAGTTCTTCTTCCATTTGAGAATACTGAAGCAAAAATTTAAAATAGGTCCCCTTCACCTGTCAATCAATTCTTTGGATTGGATTCTTTGGTATAGTCCTCTTTACTGAAAAAAAAATTTTACAAGTAAATTCAAAGTGAATTTCGAATTTTAGGTCAAAATAGCTATAACGGAAAAATCCTCTAAATTAGGTATGCTTTCATTTTTGCTACTCAGACCTTAAAGGGAAACTATAGTTGCTTTCCTGGCACTATAGTGCCCCACTTCCCTCTCATGGTGCACTTCTGTCACTTACCTGATTCCTCCTGTTGATTCAGGCTCCACCTCCACTCCTCCCCCACCAGCTTTAGCTGATGGTGGAGACCTATTGCACATGTGCAGCGATGTCCAAGCTTGCATTAGTACTTTCCCCATATGGGGTTTTACATGACACTAGATGTTCTCATACATAGTGTGAGGATGCCCAGTGTCAGTTAGGCGACCAAACGTTGCCTAATGACCCGGAAGTCCCTCTAGTGTTCGTCTGTTAGATAGCCACGAGAGGTGGAGTTAATACTCAAAGGTAATTATTGCAGTTTATTAAAACCTGCAATAACTACCTTTGCAGGGTTAAGGGGCCTCGGACACTGCACCCAGACCACTTTAATGAGCTGAAGTAATCTGGGTGCCTATAATGTCTCTTTAAGTTTAAAATTCACTTTAGTGAACAACCCTGTAAAAGTTCCCTGGTGAACTCTCAACTATCCACTTCTCAAGTTCACTCACTATAACTCAAATTGTATTCAAGCTCGACTATTAATTCAAAATAATTTCCCCTGTTTGATACTAATAATTCAAGGTTTCGTGACTGATTACAAATAAAAATGTAATATAATGCATTTCAAAAATGAACTTATATCTTGATGAATGAGTATCACATGGTTCCAAAACTCTACAAATGATGATTGCTGAGTGTGCAAAACAGGTGTGCCATGTTGCTTTGTTTTGTTGGAATGTAAAAGAGACAAGCTCATGATGTAGACTGACAGGATTTAGTTCCCCCACAGGTCTATTAAAGGATGAAGCTAGCAGACTATTAATCATTGCACCTGGTGTACTCAAAAGTGCTCTGTCTCCTAAACAGAGCTTACATTGTGAATGTGTCATATTTGAAACAGCATGCCCTTTCTGTATTATGCCTGCTGAAGTACATGCAAATATACAAATCAACAATATTAAAATCTGTTGTCATTTATGGCATCACTTTCTGGTATATCATGCAAAGTTTTTTTTTTCCAATGTAGTGTATTTGAATATGCTGCATATCTTCAGATCATGACCAGAGATGAGCAATTTGTAATACAAAAATATTTAAACAAATACTCCAAATTACAATAGTAGCCTGTTTACAAAAAAAACATTGAGAAATTACTTTTCTGCTACCTTACTAACAATGATACCATTATAATTTGCAAATAAGAGAAGACTATGTATCTCATTCATTATAAAAATACAAATCCGACAAAAGGCTTATTTCTTTCACTGTTCTGCATTCATTCCAAGTACCATAACCACTACAGCAGGCTACAATGGTTTTAACGCCAGCATTGCTTTGGCGCCCTGTCCCTTATGTACATGGTGTCTCTGGTCACTGCCTCTGTGAGAGCCAGAAGGTCTCTTCACTGTGCTAAGTTTAATGGTGCATGGCTTATCTCACTGGCTGACAGTGATGCTGATGCTCTCAACCAATTAGCTGGTCCTATATATCAAGGCTTAGCTTAGGAGAGCTAATGGACGCTCCTCCTTCTTGCAACCAATGATGTGACTGGCACCTTGAGGTTCCCAGACAAGAAATCAAACTGTAAGCAAATGATTTGACTACGTACAATTTTGGGATATGGACAAGCCAGGTTGATTGGAGTGTTCTATTTAGTAAATTAATAAGGATTTTACATATGTTACTTCAACATGTATAATATAACCACAATGCACATGCACAGTACGTGAAAAATATGTATGCATATGTGGTATAAAAATATGGTGTTATACATCACTATACTCTGATGTATTTATTATAGAACGTGCAAAATCTGGTATGTTTTTTTTATGGGGATTTACCTTGTTTAATTTACCATAGACAATGGTGGCTTTATTGAAGGAATGTCCCATAATTCTTTGCCAAACTTAATTCTGGCAAAAAAATATTTTAAAAAACAAAGGAATTGTACATTGTCCAAATATGGATTAGTTGTTTATTTTTCATCATATGCTTGAAGAAATTGGAGAGAAATGGAGGAGCGTAAGAAGCTTCTCCCTCTCCCACATGCACTGCCTCGATTTAAATAATTCTTTAAATCAGGGTGTTTTATGTGATACATAAAGTTACTGATATATCTGTGGACACAAATGTAAGGGATGTGCACAGAATTTTATTTCAGTTCATTCCTTTTAAATTTATTACAAAACAAACTATAATTAGGACAAATTTCCTATATTTCGGCTGGATATCTCCACGGAATTCCCCTCGTAGTTGCGATGTTCAGTGATTATAGCTCTTTCCCACAGTAATCGGACAACATGCATTTCTGGGAGTACAACTAATTTTACAACCCACGGCACTACAGTGTTCCTTTAAGAGAAAAAGCCCCTTTCCTAGTTTTGCTAGGAAAATAAATAAATCAATAATTTGTAATCCTTATGAAACCAAATGGATCCAAAATAACTTGTTTTGATTTGTTCCTAATTCTTTTGTTTCTTTTAGGTTTGTAAAGAAATTGGAAATTTGGACACTTCAAAATGGAATTTCTGACAATTTCAGACAAACTGGACAGAATTTGATTGGGAACTAAACAAATAACACATGTTAAATAAATGGGCATTATTGTAAAGGCTTTAATTATACCCAAACTATCTAAACTTACAGGTGTTAAACAATACAGCAAACAGATGGTGGGAGTGATTCACAGCTTGAGATCACTGTGTATCATCAAGATATGTCTCCATCATTTACAGTAAAAACCACAAAGAGAAAGAGAAATCTCTTCCTGGAACAACAAATCAGCAAGAGTTCTTCCAGATCAGCAAACAACAGGGCAGAACTTCTTATGTATATTAAAGGATCAGAAAAAAAACAAAGATGTTCTGGATTAGCAAAACAAAATTAGCCTTACGTTGAATTTGCAGAAAAATCAAATATTATTATTATGTTATTTA